GTGGTTGAGTTGTTTGCAAGTTCTTTCTGATTGCTTCTGTTATTTCAGGGCAGCAGGGAGCAGGCTCATCAGGGCAGATTGAGGGGTGGGGGAAGTGGGGGTCTGAGGAGTGGGGAGGTGTTGCATTGTCATTCAGGAGAGTGAAGAGGACTAGGCAGAGGTAGTTGGACTGCTGGTGATACCAGGGCCCTCTCCAGATTAGTAGTCATGATCAGCGTGGCCAGCCAGTCTGAGTGTTGTTAATCTAAAAACAACCAAGTCTGTAAAGAATTTTTGTGAGTTTATTTGAGCCAAACTGTCCACAATTGCCAGGAAGAAGAATCAACAGATTGGGATAATGCTCCAGAGAATGGCGGTTTTTCACCTATTTTTATACATTACAATCAAAGGAGCAGACAGTAAGTGGGTTACATGAAATCCATTGGTGATAGATTAGAGAGGTAGGAGAAAGCAAAGTGGGAAACCTCTGGGATTAGATAAAAAGTAAAACGGTAGACACATACTTCTTTTACTGAGGTGGGTACAGGATAGTTAACAGTCAATAATTAACATGATAACAATAACAATGAAAGAATTTGTGGTATCTGTCCTGGTGCCCAGGGCATTTGGTTGTGCCCTGAGAGGTCCGGAAAAAAGGAAAGTTACCAGTTACCCTGACATTTCAAGGATATGTTATCATAGATGCAAAAAAACAATGGGCTCAGTTAAGGTAAAGATTGACCTTGTCAGGGAAGATAGCGGCCTAGGACGTGACTACTCACCATAACTGCTTTTAGTTAAAAGTTTTAATTTCAGACCATTCTTGTGGTTACTTTAGGTCTTAGATTTTGCAAGACTGCCAGGCAGGCCTTCCCTGAGCTTGTCAGGTTAGTATGTGGCCCCTTTTGTCCACAATGTGTTTTGTTTCCTCCTTGTTCCAATGCAGGAAGACAGACTTGGAGTCTATTGGAACATGGAGGTAACCAGTGCTGGTGTTGTGCCAGGTTGGGCGCCAGGTGAAGAGGGCGGCCAAGGAGGCTGAAGGTGCATATCATTAACTGTGAAATCAAAGTATTGACCTTTATACTTTGATGATCCTTTTCTCTTTGTGGCCCTGTCCAGTCTCTTCATAATTTAGAACCATTGTGATTTTTTTACACTAGGCTGTTAAGCCACGTGCACTTTTAGTTAAGCACACTCCCGCTCGTGAGCTGGCCCCGGTGTTCTTTGTTGGTCTCCTGTTAATACAATGGTGTAAAAGTCAGGCAGAGCTAACAGTTTCAATCTTGAAGTCACCAGGTCCTGGGGGTGTGAGGAGCGGCCATGCAGAAGTCCAGGCCCACCAGTTCTTCCCTGGCAAGTCTCCCATATCCCAGTACCTAATGTTTGAATGATTTTTTTAGTATTTTATTACTGCCCTCTACTGTTCTTTTCTCCTAACTTGCTAATAAATTCCTGAAAGCAGAAAGTATCTTCTTTTGTGCATAACACTTAAATATTTGACTGTCAGGCTCTAAATTATGTTCATTTATTAATATTATACCCTGTTGTAAAAGATAGGCTGTTGGTACTGCTCATGTTCTCTGGGAACCTTCTGGGCCACTGCTTCCCAGCATGCAGCTTAGTGTCAGGTTCTGTCATTCTGTCCTGTCATAGGATCTGGGATTCCTCTGCCTGTCTTGGGAGGACTGACCCAGTGTTTTTTCTGAGAAGCCCTGCCCAGTGTTAGCCTCTAGCTGGGTGAGCAGGTAATCTTTGTGAGTGTTGAAATATTTGAATCAGATGTCCCCCCTCCAAATAGGGTCCTTTGTCCTGAAGGTTCATGGTAACCTGAGCTGCCCATCTGCCTTTGGGCCCAGACTTCTTACCTTACAGCAGGATTGTTTAGGACACCAAGGAGATGTTTATTTTTATACAGAAGAGATTCACAGAAACTGAGAAGGTGGGTAGGGGATAAGCATGATGAATTTAGTTTGGAAAATAAAATCTGCACATGTAAGAGACAAACTAATTTAGTCTGGGAGACACTGAAAGCCTATAGTTCTAGGAGGAATATGTGAGAGACTAATGGAGTTTGCCCTGGCATCATCATAAGGGGGACTAAGAGCACCGTGAGACTGTAGAGAGAAAGCATTCTGATCTGTCTGTGGTTTGGCTCAGCAAGTATTTATTTAACATCTGATATTTGTTCACCCCTTGTTAGGTTTGTGGACAGATAAGATGGAAGAACCTCGTCTTCCAGGAGCTTACAGGGTTTCCCGCTGCTGAGTGTATGCTGGGCATCATTGATAAGTAGGGCCTGATCTGAGTGCAGCCTCAATGGAGGGAGACTTGTCATCTAGTATCCATAAAGGCTATTAGTTTGTAGTCTTGACACTAGGGATACTGGAATTCAGAGAGAGCCCTGCTAGGGTGGAGGCGCCTCTAAGGCGAGGCAGGACTTAAAGGATAAGGAAGATTAGATGGGGAGGGGCTGGAAATTTAGCAGTCAGGAGAGAGGAAAGGTGAAGGTTCTAGACAAAGGAGTTTGGACTTGATTCTTTAGCCCGGGAAAGCAGCTGGAGCCCTGGCTGTTTCATATGATTTTATGGGAACAAAGAAGAATCCATCATTTTCACCCATAGACAGGCTTTCCCTCCAGCCCTCATTTCTCCTCATTTCTGCCAAACTGGAAATGGCATTGCCATCCTCAGGTCCTCTCTTTGTGTCACCTGCTGTGATCAGTTGATGTTGAGCCTGGAGGACATCCTTATCCCCACTCTACTGTTAATTCTTTGCTCCTTATAACCCTGCTAGTATAATCCTCTCCCCCTGGGTCTTCATTCCTCTGCCTGCCCAAACTGTTATTTCTAAATCACAAATATAATCACGTAAGTCTTCTGTTAAAAACTGAAGATTCTCCACTGTCCACAGTGCAAAGTCTAAACCTCATGCCCTTTATAACCTGGCCCTGTCTGCTTTTTCTGGCTATGATTTGGGTCTGAGTGACCATTTAAGAGAAGAAAAAGTATTTTACAGTAAAGTAACTTTTCATAGTTCACAGTGCTAACAAGATAGACTATTCAAAAGCACTTGGGATATATGGTGCCAACGTATTTTCCTTATTAACTACTCACAGCTATTGCACAAAAGAAGCATTTTTATTTATAATGATTTCATATCACCAAGGAAAAGTTGAAATAAGGATAGTAACTCATATTTTAAAAGGCAGTAGAAAGAGAAATTATACCTTTGGGGAGATTTCCACTCAAAGTGGCAAAAGTTTTTTAAAAATCTGGTGCTTAAAGGGATAAGACTCAGGTATCTGGAAGACCTACTTATCATGCCCAATAAAGGAAATGTGAGGTGATCAGCAGGCATCAATCCATAAATCTTAACAGATCCTATTAGGAAATAGGGAGGTCATAGGTGAGCAAGCGGGAGTTGAGTGATCGCCAGAAAGAAATCACACCAACTAGGCTCATCTCTGCTGGCTTCTGGGTGGGATGGGGGCTGAGGCCCTTGGCATTAAATGTCCCTTTTAGGCCCCTGGTTTAAATGGCATTTCATAGAAATGGAGGCAGGTTCTTTTTCGGCTGAGCACATGGCAGATAGGAAGCCAACCCACACACATTTTGGAGTTGGCTGCACTGAGTCTGTTCCAGAAGTGGAGCAAACAAATGGCCACATCCCCACAGAGTAAATGGAAAACAGAAGAAAATAGAAGAGTGGCCAAGGGCCTGTGGTGAATGGACCAGTGGTGTGGCCACCTCACCTCAAAAAGAACAGATCTCTTGGTCAAGAGTTCTTCGGGAGGAGGAGTCACTGTAAGCAACCCTTAAGAGGCAGATCCTCAGTGACCTTGAGCAGAAGGGAATGTGTTCTTTTTTAAAAATATATTTTATTGATTTTTACAAAGAGGAAGGGAGAGGGAGAGAGAGTTAGAAACATCGATGAGAGGGAAACATCAATCAGCTGCCTCCTGCACACCCCCTACTGGGGATCGAGCGTGCAACCAAGGTACATGCCCTTGACCAGAATCAAACCCGGGACCCTTCAGTCCTCGGGCCCAGGCTCTATTCACCGAGCCAAACCGGTTAGGGCAAAGGGGATGTGTCCTAAATGTCCTCATTGGGTGCACACCCCTATGACTCCCCACTCCCCAGCAGCACATTGTTGGGGCGAGGGGAAAGTTATGCAGTGGACACAGAGTGACTGTCCTACCAACCGGCTCCATTCAGTCCTCAGTGTGCACACTCCACACTAACTTGTTCCAGGAGGTGTTGCCAGGATTAGTGGCTGGTGGAGCCGTTTCTCCCATGGAGGAATGAGGTCACTCCTTCTCCTTGTCTGTGGAGGGTGGGGGTGGGCATGGGAAGGGAGGCACTGCTGCTCACAGAGCTGGAGGCAGCCGGATTACCACTCTGTCTAATGTCTCCTCTTAATCCTCCTGTGGAACAAATGGTAGCCTGAGAAGCCTGAATTGTGTGTTAGTTCCTGGCTGTTCTGTCACATATAAACCACGGGTAAGCTTTGTTATCCAGTGAGTTTCTGTAGTCAGTTCTTACTGAGGGCAAGCCATTCATTGGTCCAAGGAAAAACAAAGCTACAGAAAGCATGGAACTTTCTTACTCCTTGATAATTCAAGTCATGCTGCCTAGGAAATACTTCTCTCCCTTGATGCTCTGCACACCGCCAGCACTGGAGCCATGGAAGAGGCTGAAGTTATTCCAAGAAAGTGCTGGAAGTTTGGTAATAAAAAGTGGCCTTTCCCCCCTGCCTCTAGGTTGGGTTCCTGGAAGTGCACATGGCCAAAAGGAGACCTTGCTCAGCTTTGGGAGATGATTGTGCTGGGCTCCTGTACCTGCCTCCAGGTGTCCCAGCAGCTCTGGGCAGGAGCATGTGCGGGCCGTGTGCAGAGTCCCAGTGCCAAATGCAGTGTGATGAGTGAGATAAACAAGAGCAAATATTTGTACAGCAGTGTGCAGTCTGCTCGAATTCCTGAGGCTTGCTGCACGCCAGACCGAAGACTCGCTCGGCCTTTCCTGGGCTGGCTCGGGAGCAGAGTGGAAGCTGTAGGACTGAGCACAGAAAGTGCCTTCCCCATTGCTAGTTAGGGGCGTCCTTTTAAAGCATTGCCTTTTAAGGTGACCAGGTAGTCTGGTGAAGGTGAACTGCTTTAGTGGAGGTGAAGTGTGACCCTGGACACAGCAATGGAGAAAGCTGGGGGTGAGGTGCCTAGGAGCCCTGACCAGTCCTTCCTAGCAACTCGGCATGACTCACAGGGGACCCTGCTGTCTGTCCACAAGTGGTGGTCCTTGAGGCGGAGCCCTCGGGACAGGGGTCCCACCAGGCAGATGCCTTTGGAAGAGGAAGGTTCTCCCCCATCAGAGGAAGGAAAATTTTCCCTGGAGGTTTTGAATGGAACACAGGAAATCCGCTCCAGTCAGGTCAGTGCAATTGCAGAAGGGCTAAAAAGCCAAGAAGGGGGTTATCTGGTTTATAGATGGAGGTTTCTTCCATGTCTTACATATGAGGGGTCAGGGGTACAGATCTGGGATGGGGAGGTAGAGTATGAATATAGCATTGAGACCTAGTAGTCAAGGTGAATTTTCCAGAGATTAAGACTACGGTGGATAAATCTTGTTGAGTTTTATTGCTTCTTATTTTCAGGCCATTTTATAAGCCTTTGTAGAGCAAATGTTTTCCAAAATGAAAATCAGACAAAAATGGTTCTTTTTTTTTAAAAAAAATTTAAAATGTATACTTTATTTTGTTAACATCCACATTTCGACTCAATAAGCATTTCAAAAATGTTTCTGGAAAAAGAAGCTGCTCTTAAGCAAATGAAAATTTTGTTTAACTTAAAGGCCTGGTAATATTCAAAAGTAAGGCCGGGTAACATTTTGAAAAATGATATCTTTTAGTAGGACAATTCTGGGTGGGACTGATGTCTGTAGGGGGTCTTTTTCATTGCCCTAGGTACGCTGAGAGAAAAAAGACTAGTTAGATACCAAGGAAAACTTCCATAATTACTTTGCCCTTTTAGCAGTTATTTATTTTTAGTGTTATTTGTTTAGAAAGCCCCCAAAACTAAAATTTTGTGAAAAGAGATTTTTGAATTGTACTATGCAAGAGATTTATGTAGAAGAGATTTATGAATATGCATTTATGCAGTTCCTGGCCAGCTTTTATATTTTTAGCTCAGTGTCTAAGGTAGCAAAATAGTAAATTTTTTTTGAAAATGCTTGAGAAAACTTCTTTAAAATGAACTTTCTTCTGTCTTTTGGACTGGCAGAAGGGGAAAAATGTCTTTTAAAGCATAACTAGAAAAAACATGAAGTCTGGAGAGGCCATTCCTGCCTCCCCCAGTGTATTAGCAGGTTCTGCAGGTTGGGCTAAGCCTGTGAGGTTCCTAGAGAATTACCTCCTACCCGCAACAGGAGCAAGTTAACCCAAGGGACCTCAGTGCCTGACCTGGGTGCTCTGGTCCCGGCTTCCACAGACCTTCTGAGCCTGGTCTCTTTTTAGAGTCTGGTCTTTTCTTAGGCCCAGGACAATAGGCTGGAAAGGAATAGGCCCCTGCCTCTCAGAATCCCTCTTTGGGGGAATGGGAAGGGTAGAGGTTACTAGGGACTGGTTCCAGCTGGAAAGCAGAATTCCTCTTCCTCTCAGAAACAACTGCCCAGGACTCCATACCTATGGCCCCACTGACTACTTTGGCTAATCGTGGCGGCTGTTTTTATTTGACTCTAGGGTCTGTATCTCTGATAGTATATCAGTCCTCAGTAATCAAGCTGTTGAATGAGTGAACAAATAAAGGAGAAGTGGATTTATATTGTTAGGTTTGGACTTGACCATTTTAGAAAGCAATATACAGCATTGTATGTTGGGTGAGGGGAGCATAGATTGGATTTTATTTTTGCCTAGATGTAATCAAGCTAGCCCAGATGGCACAGGTATATCCCTGTTAAAATAAAGGGGGAAAATTAGATGTAGTGGTGTGATCCAGTCACTTAAAGAAGTCTCTACTGTTAACGTAAAAACATTCAAACTGTAAAAAATTTTTTATGAGTTTATTTGAGCCAAACTGTCAACAATTGCCAGGAAGCAAAATCTCAACAGATTGGGATATTGCTCCAGAGAATGGCAGTTTTTCATCTTGTTTTATACATTACAATCAAAGGAAGAGATGTAAGTGGGTTACATGAAATCCATTGGTGATAGATTAGGGAGGTGGGAGAAAGCAAAGGAGGCAGGTAACTTCTGGGATTGGATAAAAAGTAAAATGATAGACACATAGTTCTTTTACCCAGGTGGGTACAATAACAATGAAGGAATTTATGGTCTGTGTCCTGACACCCAGGCGCATTTGGTTTTGCCCTGTGGGGTCCGGAAAAAGAAGTTACAAGTTACCCTGACATTTCACAGGCATATTATCTTAGATACAAAAAGACAATAGGCGTAGTTAAGGTAAAGATTGACCTTTGTCAGGGAAGAAACTGGCCTAGGGCATGGCTACCCACTATAAACTGCTTTTAATTTTAGACCATTCTTTGTGGTTATAGCAGCAGCAGCAGTACTATAATATTATTTGTTTTTCTAGAACACTTATCATTGTATTTCTTTAATCTAGTTTCTTCAAAATTAGTATCAATAACAGATTATAAAAGTGTGGATTTGTTTCCCTTCTAGACAAATAGGGTATAGTGAATGTTAATACATTCTTGCACATTTTCCCTCTTTAATCTATCATGGATGTCTTTCTATGTCAATAGAGTGTTTGGGGTGATCAGGCAGGCAGGCAGAGGCAGTTAGGGGCGATCAGGCAGGCAGGCAAGCAGAGTGGTTAGGGGCAGTCAGGCAGGCAGGTGAGTGGTTAGGGGCGATCAGGCAGGCAGGCAGAGGAGTTAGGGATGATGAGGCAGGAAGGCGAGTGGTTGGGGTGATGAGGCAGGCAGGCGAGTGGTTGGGGCAATGAGGCAGGCAGGCAGGCGAGCAGTTAGGGGTGATCAGACAGGCAGGCAGGCTAAGGGGTTGGGGCAAATCAGGCAGACAGGCAAGTGGTTGGGGTGATGAGGCAGGCAGGCGAGCAGTTAGGGGCGATCAGGCAGGCAGGCGAGTGGTTAGGGGCAATCAGGCAGGCAGGCAGGCAGGTGAGTGGTTAGGAGCCAGCGGTCCCGATTGCAAGAGGAATGTGTAACTGCCAGTTTAGACCCGATTCCGCAGGCCTAAACTGGCAGTCACACATCCCCCAAGGAGTCCTGGATTGTGAGAGGGTGCAGACCGGACTGAGGAACGCCCCTTGCCCCTGTGTACAAATTTCGTGCACCGGGCCTCTAATCCTATCTAATAATAGACAAACATGGTAATTGACCTTACCTTCACTACGCCTCCCGTGGGCTAATCAGCGAGATATGCAAATTAACCACCAACAAAGATGGCAGTTAATTGGCATACGTAGGTGCGAAGCGGCGGAGCGAAGACTGAAGGTGGCTCCGTCCAGAGCAGTGAAGGCTTGAAGGCGGCTCCGGCTGGAGCGAAGGCCTGGGTCCCGGGTGCTGGAGGGAAACCGGTGCTGGCAGCCAGGGGAAGGGAAGGCCTATTGCACGAATCTTTTTGTGCAACAGGCCTCTAGTATAATATAAATAGCTGAATTATCTTAATATCATTGTGTGACATTCCTTGTAACCAGTGATAATGCATGTATCTAATGTAGGTTTTTCAGATCATTATTTTATCATAATTCTGGGGAATAACTTAAGGGAATTATGCTCCTATAGAGCATAATTATGCTTCTGACCTAAACTATTTTTTTCCAAATATAAAAAAATATTCCAAGATACTGACAGTTGCTTAATAGTGACAGACCTTTTATTTAAAATTTCTTTGTTTAGGGGAGCTTGAAATATAGTGTTATCAGAGAAGATTCTGTAGCAAAAAAAAAAAAAGCTGTTGATAAAAATTTGATGAAGTAATTGTTACAATACATATATGTTAAAAGCAGTGGAATTCTCTGAAACGGTTAAAGCAGTAGAATTCTCTGAAACAGTTGATAGTAAAACTGAAATGAGAGTGTGAATGGGTTTCTGAGGTAATATTGTGAAGTGCTTCTTGGGAGAGGTCTTATAGTTTGTAAATTTCTAAATTTGATTTTGTTGTATATAGCAAACAATATGTTCATATGTATGTATTGAAACTTGTTAATTTTATTTTTTGTTAATGCTACTTATTCTCCTGGGCAAATAGTGGATATACTAAATCCAGTTTCTCCATAAGGGTTAATGTTTTTTCTTGCTGTGGTCAAGCGAACAAAATAGGCAATCAAGGGTCATTTGTATGGAATTTTCCAGAAAGTGCAGTCTGCACCAGGGCTGGGGCTGGCCCTTAACGTCAGAGAGCAGGTTGTTGCACACACAGCCCAGGCACATAGTGGACCCTTATCAATGTCTGCATTAATTAATGCCTGAGTTTGGGTTAGTTTGTTTTTTTCAGTAGATGAAATTTAAATAATAATCACTGGAAGCTCTTTCTGGACTGTTGTGAAACTATGTTAAAGGACAGTCTGAAGGGATTAAAGTGGGGGTAGGGGAATAAGTACACTAGTTTTAATTATTAGTTTTCCTCGTCAGTAAAATGGTAGAAAATAAGTTCCCTGCATATCTCCCTGAGCTTCTTTTGAAGATCAAATGAGGCCATGTTTGTCTTCATAGTCAATCATTTTCAAATATTTATGATGTTAGCCTTTTTAAGTCGGGGCATGTCCACTTGCCAGCGGGGAGCAGGCCTAAGCTGCAGTCGGACATCCTTAGCATTGCTGAGGAGGCGGGAGAGGCTCCCACCACCACCGCTGTGCTGGCAGCTGGCAGCCTGGCTTGTGGCTGAATAGAGTTCCCCCTGTGGGAGCACACTGACCACCAGGAGGCAGCTCCTGCATTGAGTGTCTGCCCCCTGGTGGTCAGTGTGTGTTATAGTGACCAGTCATTCCCAGTCATTCTGCTGTTAGGGTCAATTTGCATAGTACCCTTTTATTATATAAGAGGATTGTATTATTCTCCATAAGAACGTCTGTAAACCTACTTTTGCCCCACCCTTATATATACAGATAGTAAAAAATCAGCTTACCCATAAATAACCTCAATTTTATGTATTAATACATAAGTATATGCTCTTGTAAGTCTATATGCCTATAAATTTAACATGGGGACATCGATTCCTCCTCATTGGGGGGTTGTAGAAGCTGACACCCAAATGCCTGGTTTGAATATGATCTTTTCAAGTGGTCTCTTAAGATCCTCCCTCCCCTGTGAATCTCTGACATCCATTGACTCCTATATAATAATGCCCAGTGACTGAATGGTGGAATGACCAGAATGACTGGTCAACCAGTCACTATGATGCTCACTGACCACCAGGGGTCAGACGTTCAACACAGGAGCTGCCCCTGGTG